GTCTCTGGAGGCAGAAAAAGTATTGGTATGGAGGGAACATCCTGCACTGAAGGAAATGGTTCGTGTTTTCCTGCCCTTGGTTGATTTTCTCATCTCTAGAATCAGTGGGGATTGGTGTTCCTTTTATGGTGCTGTGGAATGAGCACTCAACCGCAGGGTCAGTGGTTCAAACTCACCAGCTGTTCCTTGGAAACCCTTCACAGGATTGCTATGGGTCGGAACTGACTTGACAGCACTTAACAACAGTAGCTGAGTTCAGAGCTCAGATACACAGACCTAGGTTCAGAGTCTAGCCTTTACCACTTAAATAGCTGCACCATCGTGCAATTTCCTTAAATTGTTTAACTTCTCCCAGCGTTAGCTTCCTCGTTTGTAAACGTCATAAACATACTACTTCATCGGGTTGTTGTGAGGATTATGTAAGTACTTAGTGCACGAATAAGCATTTGCTGTGTGTGAGCTATGGCCATTACTGTTTTGTCAGATGAAAGGTGGACTTGGTTTTTATTGGATGGAGTGCAGTTAGGTCCAAGTTGGTTGATCAAGTCTTGTCTTGTTAACAGGGTTTTCTGTCCACTTATTCTATCAGTTAGTGAGAGAGGAGCGGGGAATTTCTAATTATAATTGTGAAGTCATATATTTACCCTTTTAGTTCTATCCATTTACTTTAAAGCTATTGTTACTAGGTGAATACACATTTAAAATTGTTACGTTTTTGTGAATTTTTATTCTCTTTATTTTTGGTCCCTTTTTATCCATGGTAATATTTTGTGTTTTGAAATCTACCTTATCTAATATTGTTATAGCTGCTCCAGCTTTTTGCTGGCTTGCATGGTTTATACTAGGAGGCTTCAAAAAGTGCATTTTACAACCCCACTAGCGGTATATAAGAATTCCAGTTTCCCCACAATCCTTGCCAGCATTTCTTCTTGTTTTCTGTTTCTGTTTTTTAAACCCGCGCAGTTTTAGCAGGGGTGAAATGGTATCTCACAGTAGTTTTTATTTGTATCTCTCTGATGGCTGATGGTGGTGCTGTGGGTTAAATGCTGGGCTGCTAACCGAAAGGTAGCCAGTTCAGAACTCACCAGCCATTCTGCAGAAGAGAGCTGAGGCTACTGAGGGTGTCTTTGTGCATTAACCGCCTGAGTATCACCTCATGCCCTTTGCCATTTTTTTCATGGGATTATTTATCTTTTTGTTACTCTGCATTCTGCGTTTCTTACTTAGTCATATATTTAAGACTTCTTTCCTTATAAGCACATCAAAAGCATACATTTTTCTTGTTGTTGTTAAATGCTTTCCAGTCGGTTCTGGCTCATAGCAACCCTATATAGAGTGTCCAAGGAGCAGCTGGTGGGTTTGAACTGCCGACCTTTTGGTTCACAATCCAGTAATGATCCTACAGTGCCACAACAGGAGTCTTCTTACAATGACATGATAGTATTCTGTTGTCTGGAAGAAACCATGATGTATTTACTCTCCGAGTAGTGGCCATTTGTGGTGTCTCCAGTCTTTTGCTTATGCAAATACCAGAGAGATGAGTTTCTGGAGGCGGTCATCATGCTTGGGCAAGTGGAGGGTCAGCAAGAGAGAGAAAGACCCCCCAACAGGATGGATTGACGTGGCTCAAACATGAACAACAATTGTGCGGCTAGTGCCGCATCAGGCAGTGATTCCTTCTGTTATGTATGGGGTCACTATGAGTTAGAACTAACTCCGTGGCACCTAACAACAACAACACTTAATGCAAATAGTGTTATAATAAGTAGCCGTGTACATATTTCAGAATTGACTCCATGGCAGTGGAGTTGGGTTTTTCACATGCTTCATTTTGTACATTTGCAGTTCTGTCACTAGAAAGCTTCTGAGAAATAGAATTGTCGGGCCTTGAGGTAAATGCACTTGTAATTGTGATGGGTTTTGCCTTATTGCCCTCTGGTGAAGTCTAGTCATTTCATATTCCCGTCTGCATCGTTCCCACATACTGTGCTGGTGTAAGTTCTGTTGCGATGGTACTGACTCTTGGTAACCCTGCATAGCTTGTTGTTGTTGTGAAGTGCCATCGAGTCGGTTCTGACCCATAGCGACCCTGTATAGGGCTTCTGAGGAGCATCTGGTGAGTTTGAACCGCCAACCTTGCAGTTCAAACAGCTTTGCAGTCTGGCGCATTAGCCCACAGCGCCACACCAGGACTCCCTGCATAGGTTACCAGGCTGCAAATCTTTTTGGGAGTAGAAAGTCTCATCGTCATCCTATAGAGGGCATGGTGGACTTGAACCACTGACCTTGTAGTGTGCAGTCCAGTGCTTATCCCAAAGCATAATCAACTTCAGATGTCAGGGCTTTTTGTATCTTTGTTACCCTGAGTGATGTTGGACATCTTTTCCTAGGTTTAAGGTGTGTTGGTTTCATTTCTGTGCTCTGTTGGTTTTCCATGCCCATTTTTCTACTGGACTGTTGGATTTTCCTTTCCTTCTTCTCTATTTGTAGGTGCTTTTGCATATTCAGGAGAGTAGTCCTTAGTCTTGTAGTTTGAAACCCTTTTCTCTAGTTTGTTGTCTTACTTTTGACATCTTGTGTTTCTTTAGTGTGATTGAATTCACGATAATTTTCTTGTAGGCAGGATCCCTGGTAGCACAGTGGTTCTGTGCTTGGCTGCTAGCCAGTAGGTCGGCAAGTTCTATCCCAGTAGCCACTTTGTGGGAGAAAGATGTCTGCTCCCATTAAAGATGACAGCTTTGGAAATGACTGACCCATAGCACAGTGTGGAATAAATCTGTGCATGTGATTTCCAAATGAGGAAATTACTCAGCAAAACCGTACTAGGTTAGCTGTATGGGGCAGTTCTACTCTGTCCTGTAGTGACGCTGTGAGTCAGAATGCACTTGATGGCGGCTGCAGGTTTGGTTTGGTTGGCTTCTTTTAGACTTGCCAGGTTTTGAATCATTGTTAGGACATGCCTAGTGATTGAAATAATTGGCAAATACTTGATTTGGAAAGAGGATGCTAAGATGCAGTTTTATTCTGTTAACTACTTAATATTAACAATTGTACAGTATAGGGGAGGAAAAGAATGCTTTCCTTGAATTCAAGTAACTAAATACCACACTAATAATCAATTATATAATGATCAGCAAGAGGTGGGATTTTTAGTTTGTCAGACTTCCTGGTATATTCTTTTACATCATTGATAAGTTTCTCTTACTTGAGTAAACCAGTTACTCTAATAAGAATTTTACTTTCATTATCTTAAAACTTAATGATAACCTCATCATTAAAAGGAGTCTCTTGAATAAAATCTAGAGTTTGAATCCTAAAGTTAAAAAATAACATAAGAAATTACTCTGAGAAAACATAATAGGTTAATTTTATTATCTTCAGAAGATTTTTTTTTTCCATCTTAACAGTCTTTCTTTTTGCATATAAAGGAAAACTTGGAGGTATGAAATTCTTTAGTTCCTTGTTGTTGCTGTTGTTGGGTGCCATTGAGTCAATTCCGACTCGTAGTAACCCCAAGGAACAGAGTAGAACTGCCCATGGATTTCCTAGGCTGAAATCTCTATGAGAGTAGTTGGCCAGATCTTTTCTCCCATGGTGCCATTCATGGGTTCCAACTGCCCATATTTTGGTTAGTTGTTGTTAAGTGCCGTTGAGTCAGTTCCAACTCATAGCCACTGTGTATAGGGTTTCCGAGGCTAGCTTTACAGGAGCAAAAAGCTTCATCTTTCTCCAGAAAAACAGCTAGAAGGCTCAAACTGCCAACTTTGTGGTTTGCAATCCAGTTGCTTATGCGTTGGAATCACCACGCTCCCACAAAGTTAAAGAAATTTTTATTAAGCCATATATCAAAATGTGAGGCTCATAAACATCTAGGGCTATGCACTTCTGAAGGCTGTGTCTCCACCCTGGTAATGTAGTGGATTACAAGCTAGGTTCCTAACCACAGGGTCAGCAAGCAGTTGGACTCTGTCAGTTCCTCCACGGAAGAAAGGTTTACAGCCTTGGAAACGCTATACAGGGTCTCTGTGAGTCAGAACCGACTCTCACAACCATCAACCCTTCCCTGAAGAATTCTGCACTCTTGGATTTTTACCATACCCCAGTGGCAGTTTTGGCATCCCTAAGGAAGTTCAGTTGTGTGCCTTCTCAGTGCTGTTTGATTTGGGGGAAACACAAAGAATCTGAAGAGGCTAGAGCAGGACTGTTGGTTTCCTTAGGACAGCCTTTGCTACAGTCGAAGAATGAGTAGGTAGATTGTCTGTCGTGATGGAAAAAGCATTCCTCAGAGCAACTTTGCTGGCCTTCCGATGCAGTTTTCCATTTGCTTAAAACTACTTCCTAAAAAAGCCTCCATGATGTCCTGTGTCCTTTGTGAAAATCTTTCAAGATGACCCCCGGGAACCCACAAAACAGTCGCCATAACCTTCTGAGCAGACTTCTCTGCCTTGAATATAACTGGCCCCAGCAGATCCCTTTGGAAGCCACTGTCTTGACTGGATTGTGTTTTGAGGGCGCCTTCATGAGACTGAGACAGGCGTATCCTGGAGAGAACTTGTCACAGCCATCCACTGATCACAGAGACAGGTTTCAACATGTTTTGTTTAGAATAAACCTGTGCATGTAAGAATGGAGTGCTGGTGTTGCGATGTAGGATAAGCACTGGATTGCTAATCACAAGGTCAGCAGTTCAAACCTACCAGTCACTCCTCGGAAACCTCCACAGAGTCACCTTGAGTCATAACTGACTCGATGGCACTTAACAACAACAAACATGTAAGAACTGGAACCCCAGTAGCAATACTTTTGACTGACCCTCATATAATAGATATTGCTTACTGTAGAAAAGTGTCCAAATATTTCAGTGTACGATGATTTAAATTCAAGTTTAACTTTGACCTTGATTAAGCATAATTTAGAGAACCTTAAGCTAGATACTTAGAGTAATTCTGTGCATGGATCTTTTATGTTATGAAACTTACTGTATTTCATTTTCCCAGCAGACATTCAGGAAGCCAAAACCGCCAGCCCTTCCATAAACCGACAAGCCAGCATTGAAACGGATAGAGTATCTAAGGAGTTCATAGAATTTCTCAAGACCTACCACAAGACAGGTCAAGAAATCTACAAGCAGACCAAGATATTTTTGGAAACAATGCATTTTAAAAGGGTAGGTTGTGAGTATAGGTTGTGAGTAACTGTTCAGAATCATAGAATTTTGGTTTTAGGAAAGATCTTGATAATGGAATGTAACTATGTCCTTTTACACCTGAAAAAATCAAGACACAGAGATGTTAAGTTACTTACCTAAGAAAAGTCACTGCACCAGGTTAGAACCTGATTTCCAAGCTGGTACTTTTCCACTGGAACTCACTGGTCTCGGGTTTTCTTTGTGTGCTAAGTCTGGCATTGAAGCTGCTTGGGTTATGTATGTTAGTAACAGGTCTTACTAACTTGTGACCTTGTAAGTTTTATAAGTTACAGCGAAAGCCATTGTTGTTGTTGTGAAGGGCCATCGAATCGGTTCCAACTCATAGAGATCCTGTATAGGGTTTCTTAGGAGCGGCTAGTTTTTTTGAACCACTGACCTTGAGGTTCAAACTGCCCTTGCAGTCTAGTCCTTTACCCTAGCAGAACTCCTCACCGAGAGCCCTGGTAGGTCTTTAACTCTCAGTACTCATTTTTTGAGCAGCAGCATTTATTTCAGGTTTTGTTTTGCTTTTTATTTTATTTTTATTTTTTCTCTCCTTGCTCAGTTAGAGAAGGGAAAGACAGAATTTAGACAGTGGAAGAAGCCTTAGCCATATATATAGATGAGGAAGCTGAGAGCCAGAGAGGGGAAGTGACTTGTCCAAGGTCACACAGCCAGACTTTGCCAGCTCAGAAGTAGAACCTGTGCCTTCAGCACCTGTGTCTTTCCTGCCACATATATCTGCTCCCTTCATGGAAAAGTGAAGGCTGGCCTTAGCAGGAACTTGTTTTGTAAGCAGTGATGAATTCTCATGTCACATGCATACTGCAGCCATTAACTCAAAGTGCAGCCCCTAAGAATTCCTCCTGGCATGGGAGTGAGGAAGGAAGGGGCGTTAGGAAAGTAGCGTGGAGGCTGACTGCTTAGGTGTATTCCTTCTGAGGTAAAAAACCAAAATGGACTTCTGCCAAAATATTGTTTTTAATAGTGATTTTAGTCAATAGGGGAGAAATGAGGCTTCTTTCTTGGTCCATAAAGTATAATTACTCTAAGAATAAGCAAGCAGCCCTTTGCCTCAATATATTTTTTAACAAAATGATGTTTAGCATTCAAGCAAGCAAGCTATCATTGATTTTGTTGTTGTTGTTAGACACAATAGTAGACTAGTCTTTGATGTGGGGGTGAGGGTAGCATAGTTCATGTGACATATACAACTTTAATTTTTTTTTTATCAGAAGTAAAAACTTAAGATTTCCAAGTTATTTTTTCTTCTTAATATAACATATCCTAATATAGCATTGGAGTCCTGGTGTGGCGCTGTGGGTTAATGCACTCAACTGAAAAGTTGTTGAACTACAAGGTCAGCATTCAAGTTCACCAGCCGCTCCTCGGAAACCCTATACAAGGCTCTATGGGTCAGAATTGACTCAACAGCACTTAATAACAACAGTATAGCATTGGAGTCCTGGTACAGTGCTGTAGGATAAGCACTGGACTACAGGGTCTGTTTGAATCACAGCGTTGGCAGTTCAAACTCACCAGCCACTCCTAAAGCCCTATAGAGGGTCGCTATGAGTCAGAACCAACTCATTGGCACTAAACAACAATTTAGGGTAAATGCCCTGGACTGAAAAGTCGTTTGAACTGCAAGATCGGCGGTTTAAACCCACCAACCACTCCTCGGAAACCCTGTACAGGGTTGCTATGGGTCAGAACCAACTCAACATCACTTAACAACAACAACAAATATAAGAAGACTAAATGCTGTGTTGTCATTGTTAAGTGCCGCTGAGTCAGTCTGACTCAGAGCGATGCTATATAGGGTTTCGGAGACTGTAAATCTTTACAGAAGCAGAATGCCTCCTCTTTCTCCCATGGACGGCTGGTGAGCTCAAACTGCCAACCTTGTAATTGGCAGTCCAGTGCTTCTCCTACACAGCCATTGTGCTCCCATATAGGCACTATATGCTATGCTGTATTAGCATGTGCACCCTTGACTTGAATTTGTTCATTTTCCGGTTGCTCAGAAATGTAATGTGCCCTTGATCTGCAAGATTGCAGTTGGCCTTTAAGTCAGTATACTAAAGTAAGAGGGAATGCAGTGGTCCAGGTGTTTCCCAGGCATCACTGATCATTATCAGACACGTGGTGTAGCCTTGGGTTCCTTATGTGAATCCTGTCTCCATCTCTACGCTGTTCCCTTGCAGGTGGCTAGCCCTTGCAGGTACCTCATGTGTCTGCAGCATCTAGCACCTGATTGACAGCAGGTGTTTGTGAAGGTGAATCTTCCCTGTGGGAGCCATTGCTGCCTTTGGCTGCAAGTTAATACCCTTTCATATAAATAAGCAAGAAAATACAACTTCATTTCTCCTAAGCTAACTGTAGCTTTAGGTTGCTTCACCGTATCCATTGTTTGAGAGAAGGGTTGAATAAAACTTCTGTGATGGAGTGAAATATGTAACTGTGAACAGTGTCACCCAAGCACCGTGAAGGGTCTCAGATTTTTCCAGTGCAAGCTAACGCCACAGTTGCACGGCTGCTTGCAGAAGACTTGCATCTCCTGGGTCAGGGACACAGATTAGTGACGAGAGTATCCTCATAAAGGAGACAGCCTTTCTCAGGAGCATCACTGGAGACCTCTCGTCATCACTGTCTCTCCCAGAGACCAGGATGGCCAGGGCGGCATACTGCTCTGCCCACCATACCTGCTTCGAGGTGATGGCTACAGACCACTAAGCAAGAGGGGAAAGATTGACTGCTTGGCACCATGGCACTCTGCCCTTCCTACTCATAATTACCATAGAATCTTGTTATGTCTTTGCATTTCATTCCCAGATCTCTGAAAGCCCCGTGAGCAGTTTATAATCTTTGTCTTTCTCTGTCTGGTGCGGTGACTGGCAGGTGTACTAGTTACATGATCAGTGGTTTTAGAACAGATAGAAATACAGTGCCCAGGTGTCATTGTTTTATCAGAGTAACAAGACAAGCAGAGGTCTTAACTGAGCAGCGTGGCATGTTGTTGTTGTTAAGTGCCGGCCAGTCAGTTCTGACTCTTACCATTTCTGAGGAGCAGCTGATAGGGGCTTGAACTGCTGACCTTGCAGTTGCAATCCAGTGCTTATCCTGCAGTAACCACACCAGGATTCATACAACATGGCATAATTAAAGATAAATTTCTGTTGCAATAAGATAATACCCGTGATAAATAGCTAATGAGCATAGCTCATTAAGAAAAAATATATATAGCAGTTTTTCAAAGACGGTAACAATAAAGAGTATTAATTATTAAGGACTTTTACAAGGAAAGTTAGTTTTTCAAAGAATTAAAAGCCTTTCTTCAGGATTGTATCTTGGATCTAGCTGAGAAAAAGAAAAAGTTTAACGATACTTTGTAAGTCAGTATGACCATTTTAAATACCTTTAAATTACAGTGTTCCCTTGTTCTCAAGAACCGAGGAAGCATATCTAGCCTATCATTTGTCCTGAGGGGAAAAAGTAGCAAGAATCTAGGAAAGGAGGGGAGCGTCTTTAAGTTTAGAAACCTTCAAAAATATATTCTGAAATGAAAGTCATCGTAATTGGAAGAGATGTGGGTAAAAATAAAAGCGAAAATGATTGAAACAAATTCCATTTCTCTGGAGCAAATGACACAACACCTCAGAAAACCAGGGAGACAGAGCTTCTTTTTACTGACGGTTGCTGAAAAGGATCCAAACATCCTCATACAGATGACCTCAGGTCTGTGTTTTGTACCACACCCCCTACAGCTCCGCCAAATTAAAGAGTGAAATATAAAAACCTTAGAAGAGGCTCAATTAAGATATTCATTTCACTGGGAAGAAGAACGAACATTGAATTATTGAAGAATGATGTTTAATGGCCAGGTGAAAGCTTTTAAAAATATATGCACTGAAAAATAAAAGTTCAATACTGTGGAAGGTGACCCTAGGAAATGATGGGGCACATAAATAAGAGCCCACTATCACAGAACGTGGAGTCCTGGTGTGGTGCTGTGGGCTAATGCATCAGACTGCAAAGTCGTTTGAACTGCAAAGTTGGTGATTCAAGCTCACTGGCTTCTCCTTGGAAACCCTATATATTCTGATCCTATAGATCAGAATCGACTCAACTCAGTAGCACTTAACAACAACAACAATTACAGAATGTGGAGTCCTGGTGTGGCACTTTGGGATAAAGCACTGGACGGTGAGGTCGGTTTGAATCACAAGGTTGGCAGTTCAAACTCACCATCTGCTTCTTGGAAACACGATATAGTGTCACTATGTGTCAGAACCGACTAGCTGGCACTTAACAACAACAACATAACAGAATGTGGAGTCCTGGTGTGGCACTATAGGATAAATATGGACTGCTAACCACTAGGTCGGCAGTTCAAACCCATCATCCGCTCCTCGGAAACCCTATACAGGTTCACTGTGAGTCAGAACGGACTAGACAGCACTTAACAACAACAATGTCACAGAATGTATGACCTTTACTAAGGCTAGGACCCAGGACTTATTAGACAGAGGGTCCTTTTAAATTCAGCCAGACAGCAGGGGTGTAAACACCTGATGAATTCAGACTCAGAAACTGCGGTCAGAATGGCCGTGAGGTGACGGAAGGGCTCTGTGACCTAAAGCTCATTGTGATGAAGGGAGCGAGGGACGGCGGCGAGATGGGAAGTGAGCCTTCCAGGGCACCCCGTCAGGCCCTCCTTGGACAGATGGTGGACAGAGAGGGGTCTGTTTAGTGTTTGAGTTATAGTTAAGCTAAAAGCAGCTTCTGTAACCCTGGTGCACTGGTCGGTAAGTGGGAGGCAGGCTGGACTCTTTGGGCAGAGTGTGCATTTCTGGGGACCCCTGACAGAAGGCCACTGGGAGATGGGAGGCAGAGTGTGACCACATCAGATCCAAGAGGATCAGCTTATGGCATTTCGTCAGCTGCACCCACAGTGAGACAGACGACAGACCCAAGCAGCAGGGGAGGCCAGCTAGATGCCAGGTTATGAGGGAGTCATGGTAGGGACATTCGGAGAGCAGTAAGCTTGGCTTGGTAACTGTCCCCTGTCCCCCCCACCGAGTGTTCTGGCCCTGTTCAGACCCAGGCTGCATCTCAGGAGGCCGAGGGACACAGTGACCTCTTCATGAGCCCCTACATGATACGTTTCTGACCCTGTTTCAGGGGTGATACTTTTACCTGAAGAATTAGTTTGCTCTCATCTTTTGGACCCTGCCTTATGTGACTGCTTTCCTCATTCCTGCAGAAAGCTTAGCCAGAGACACATTTAGGGGCGAATGCAGGATAATGTACTGGACCACAAGGTTGGTTTGAATCTCAGGGTCGGTGGTTCAAACTCACCAGCCGCTCCTTAGAAACTCTATAGAGGATCGCTATGAGTCAGAACCAACTAGATGGCACTTAACAATAACAACTTGACTAACTTCTGAATCATCAAGGAATACATTTTTGTGTAGTTGTTTGCAACTCCGTTTTCTCCCTCAGTGTGTTGTTTTTCTGTTTTACACCTTCCTAATTGATGGTGTGACACTGTAGGATCAGCACTGGACTGTGAACCACGAGGTCTGTGGTTCAAACCCACCAGCTGCTCCTCAGAACCCTATACAGGGTGGTTTTGAGTCAGAACTGACTTAATGACATTTAACAGCAACAACAACAATATATATGTGTGTATGTATACCCAACAAAAGAATTAAAGAGGTCATGGACTTATGGATCTATCATTAATACATAGGCTTTTCTCATCTTCACATTTGATAAAGTTTTCAACTACTTTTGGGATTAGTACCAAAGCAAGGAGTGAGTTTTCAAAACTCAAGTTTTAGAGCTGTGCTCATGGTCTTTCACTTCTGAGCAGCGTCTCTCCCCTCTCATTTCAGGAATTAAGCATCGAGGAACAATCGGAATGTACTCAGGATTTTTACCAAAACGTGGCTGAGAAAATGCAGACCCGCGGCAAAGGTAGCAAGCCAAGCACAGGGGTTTGCCTGGGAGTTGCTGTAGGCTGATTCCTCGGCCTCTTTGTCAGCTCCGTCTTTCTCTGAGGGCCCAGTGACAATAGCCTGGTAGCTGTTGGTGTGTGAAGTAGTGCCTGTGAACACCACCCTGTGTGTCTCTCTGTGTAGAAACACCACCAGGGGCAGCATTAAGGGGTGGATTAAAACCAACCCCTTGGAGGGCTTTCCTAAATAAACTGCCTCCTAGCTATCATTTTTCATGATAGTGTATTCCTGTGGGGTTTGGGTCAGGCATAAAACATAGAGACTCGCTGGCTTCGAGCTTTAGGGTTAAGGGATTCTTCTTGAATTGTACTCTGTTGAGGCTGACATTCACATGTGAATACATCTGTGTTCTCTGCACTCAAGTGCTCTAAGGATGCCTCTGGCCTGCGTCTGTCACCCTGAGACATGTCGAGGGTTTTTCTAGTGCAGCGATGGGAATGGCAGGGTGTGGGCCTTTTAGGTTCTGCAAGCACAGCTTCCACTCCAAGTGGTGCCCTATCAAAGTCAGTCTCAACAGTTGAGATCGTTTTTAAAGGAGGGTGTTTTTGTAGATGCTTCCGTTTCTGGGTGTGTGTAGTGTGTTTCTGGGAAAAAGCTTGTTTTCTGCTGTGAACTGTTCTTCCCATTTGGCTGTTTCAGTGCCTCCAGAGCGAGTTGAGAAGATAATGGACCAGATTGAGAAGTACATCATGACGCGTCTCTATAAACACGTGTTCTGTCCAGAAACTACTGATGATGAGAAGAAAGACCTCGCCATTCAGAGGAGGATCAGGTAGTTGTTTGGTGGGAAACCAGAGCATTTGAATCTCAGATGCTGAGAGAAAGTCACAGCTGAGGTGCCTCGGTGAGCGTCTGGACAGGGCTGGTGGGGGTAGAAAGAAAAGGTATGTGGGAAACTGAAAGGAAGCACGTGAGGGCTCTGGAGTCGCTGTGTTGCTTACTCACCTGACTCCAGGCAGCTTTAGATAAGAACCATGTTTGATGTTTGATATTGTTTCAAATCTCTAAAATTGCCAGGACTGGGAGGACTGATTTCTTGTCTCTCTGTGTTGACTCTAGACTCCTGATCAGGCAGGAAGCTGTGAATAGTACTATCAAGGTGTCCGCCTTCCCCACCCTCCCAAGGTGCCCCCATCAGTAGCCATTCTTCCAACTGCATCTCTCCAGGAGTGCTGTGTGGCTAGCTCCCCACCTTCCATGTGGAGTCCCAGCAAAAGTCTTAGGGAACCAGCCAGCTGAGAGTGGGAATGGGTCCAGAATATGGTGAGGTATTCTGGAATAGTGCGGCTAAGGAACCCGAGATGCGCTTCCAGACAAGGGATGGTCATGATTGGGTCTGTCCTCGAAGGTGTCCCACCCAAAGTGAGGAGCTGTTCTTGGGAAGAGATCAGGAGCCAGCAGGAGCTAGATGAGGTGTGGCCTGAGAAGCCAGGTGTGAGTCAAATCCAGGAAGGTGCACAGGTCAAGGAGTGAGGTTGGGTGTGAACGGCCCAGGGGACACAAGTCTGAGAGCCCATTGAGGCAGTGGGTGCTTCTGACCTCTTCACTACAGCCTTAGGAGCCCTGGCTCGTTTCAACCATGGAGTTGTCTACTGCTCACCCAGGATAAGTGCCCCAGAGCAGTCTCATCATAGCATCTGGGTGATGGGTGTGGACCTGGGAGTACCTGAGGAGACAGGGGCTGATGAAATTGGCGGCTCCCATCGGTCCTCAGAGCTCCCCGCGTTCCCTGCTGCTCTCTCCTCACAGAGCCCTGCACTGGGTGACGCCGCAGATGCTGTGTGTCCCTGTCAGTGAAGAGATCCCGGAAGTGTCCGACATGGTGGTGAGAGCCATTACAGGTGAGCAAACCCGAGACGTCCTGCACGGGGCACTCTGTGGAGGTGAATGTTTTGCTGCTACTAACCCACTGCTCACGGGGACCCTGTGGAATTGACTAGAACTCTCCCACAGGCTTTCCCAGGCTGTCAGTCTCTACAGAAGCACACTGCCTCATCTTTTTCCCACGGAGCAGCCGGTGGCTTTGAACCGCTGACCTTTCAGTGAGCAACTTTTCCGTGAGGGCTTGCTGTCATTATTCTACATTTCTTTCAGTGAGCAAAGTTTTAGTAAAATGGCTCTCAGATGTAGACTGCGGAGGATAGATTAGAATATCACAAAGGAGCCTTGCCAGAGTGGGATTGTCAGTGTTAGGAAATTCCCACATTTAGAGTCGCAGGAAGCCCACCCCCACATCTCCCAGGCTCTCAGTAACCAAGGACTCTAACTGCTTGATCCTTGAGCCAGATCTGGGTTCATTGCTTCAGGCTCAGTTGCATTTCTGTCTTTAAAATAATTGTTGAGAACGGCAGAGTCATCCTCAAGCTTGAGTAGTCACACTAACGGGATTCCTTGTGTTGGCTGTTAATTGAGATGGGTTTAGAGTGATTTTTCTGATTCAAAAAGTAAATGAAGAACCCCACATTGGGGCGGCTCTGCCATCCCAGGCAGGTCCAGGCTCCTATTAAGGTTCCTGTTTCACTTTCATAGAAATAACTCAGAAGCGCCCTAGAAAAATGAGAAGTAAATCGAAACAAAAGTACTCTTGCAAGAGGAGACTTCCAACCTTGGCCGGATTTCCCTTACTTCAGGCGAAGACTCAGAAAGGCGCATTCCTGTAGCGATAGTTAATGTAGTTCTCGGGGAAGGGAAGTGGGCTGGCTCGTGTTACAAGTATTGGGGCTAGGACATTATGTAGATCCCTTTTACTGATAGGAACCTTCACTCAAGCTTCAGGAAGGAATAGGGTTTGCTGGAAATATTATCAGGGTAGTATGGGAGGCACATCTCTTCCAAAGCCATCCTGGGGGCTGTGGGTTATCTTAGTACCCCACAACAGCAAGAAGGTTTTGACTCTAAGCACTCAGCTGCTAACCTGTTTCTTCCTCTCTCAGATGCTCTTATCTTGGTATGTCTTCGCACATCTACTCATGTTCTTCTGAGTGTATTCTCTCATTTCCCGTTCACCTGGAGAGTCTGACTGGCCTAGCTGAATGCTCATCATTGTGGTTCAAAGCTTTTCTTCTAGGCCATGTCGTAGGCTCATCATAGGCTCCTTTTGGGTCAGGGCTCACCCCTACCTGTTTCTCAGACGTAACAGATAAAAGGTGAAGCTGGTAGAAGTTTCCCCAAAAGTAGTGAGTTATAATAAGGATTCAGAAGTTGGGATAAGAACCAGCAATGATACCTCTTATTCACGTCTTTTTCGGTGAATTTCTGACACTTCCCGTCAGTGTACTGCTACAACCATTTTTGAATCATCTTCAGCAAAACTTTACCTGCATTTGAAATTAGTGATAGTGGTGGTGACAGTGGTGGGTGTGCCGTCAAGTGGGGTTTCCAAGGTGTAAATCTTTACAGGAGCAGAAAGCCTCATCTTTTTCCTGTGGGACAGCTGGTATATTCGAACTGCTGACTCTGCAGTTAGCAGCCCAACCCATAACCCACTCTGCTACCAGGGCTCCTTGATATTAATAGTAGTGTTTGGTATTTGTTATATTCTAATTGGATCAACAACAACAAAGTGGATCACCTTCAGGTCAAACCCACCAACTGTTCTACAGGATAAAGATGAGGCTGTCTGCTCCAGTAACCCTGTTTAGTGCGTCAGTATCAGCTGGAGGGCAGTGAGTTAGAGTAGTAGTGTGGATCTTGGTTGGTCGAGTAGCTGTGGATCCTAATTTTCCAACATAGATTAGTGAACGCTTCAAGCACTGCATCATTTGTTGAAACGTCTCACTTGGTATTCCATTAATTCCTAGCGTTTTGCTAGTGTCTTCTCTGCAGTTTGGATGTCTTCTTTGAGTGCCATCAGCTCCTGGTCATATGCTGCCTCCTGAAATGGTTGAACATTGACCATTTCTGTTTGGTACAGTGACTCTGTGTCTTCCTTCCATCTTCGTTTGATGCTTCCTGTATCATTCAATATTTTGCCCTTAGAATCCTTTGTTATGTTATAACTCGAGGCTTGAATATTTTTTCTTAGTTCTTTCAGCTTGAAAATTGCCGAGTGTGACCTTCTTTTAGTTTTAGTTTTTAGTTTTCTAACTCTTGAGTTTTTGCACATTTCCTTATAATACTTTACTTTGTCTTCTCAGGCTGCCTTATGAGATCTTCTGTTCAGCATTTTTATTTCATCATTTTTTCCATTCACTTTACCTTCTCTAGCTTTTAGAGCAAGTTTCAGAGTCTCTTCTGACATCCATTTTGGTGTTTTCTCACTTTCCTGCCTTTCTAGTTGCCTTTTATTTTCTTTGTGTATAATGTTCTTGATGCCAACTTCTCTGGTCTTTGGTTTCTAGCATTCAAATCTATGATTAAAATGGTCTCTGAATCCAGGCAGGATATACTCATGGCTGTTATGAACTTCAGTTTTTTCCAGTTTCAACTTTAACTTGCAAATGAACAATTGATGGTCTGTTCCACAGTCAGCCCTGGCCTTGTTCTGATGTTGATGCTGAGCATCTCCATCATCTCATTCTATAGATGTAGTTGACTTGATTCCTGTGTATTCCATCTGGCAAGGTCCATATGTGTGAGGGGGCTTCAGAAACTTTATGAAAAAAATCCCATTACATTTTAATTCCAGTTTTCCATGAACTTTTTTAAAAAATCTTTTTAAGCAGATTAAAGAATTTATTAAGCATTGACTAGGTCTTACAGATAAGAATGGGCTTTCACCTTACAATTCAGGAGGAGCCTCGAATATGTTTGTCTTTTCCATTATACATCCTCCCATGAGAGGCGCGAGCTGCACTCCTGGTTCAAGTGTCCAGATAGCCAATCTGGGAAATTTGTCCATACATGGTCACTCTGAGTCTTGTTTCTCAGGTTCAGCTCATGATTGACTAACTTGCTTCCCTACCTTGTATCAGGATCTCCTTATTGCTGAAGTTGGTCTGATTTTGTGCTGAGACAGCTGGGAGGTGGGGACGGACGACATGAGACCCTCATCCTTTCCCTGTTCTAACTGCCTAACACTCTCCTCTGAGGGAAAAGGAAGCCCTAAGTCTTTAGGGATATGGAAGACACCTCGCTCTTAGCTGCTTCTTGCTGACTCGGGTGCCATAGTAGGGGGTAAGGGTTTCCGATCTCTCCTATCTTATAGTTGAAGGTCTTCGCCAACACCTGTTATTTATAGAATCCTGAGTAGGAGGGAACATAGAGAAAGATGTACATTTCCGCTGTCTAAAATGTAAATGCGCTAGACTGCAAAGTCAGCTTAAGCTGCAAAGTTAGTGGTGCAACCTCAACAGCCATTTCTTGGAAACCCTATACAGGGTTGCTATGGGTCGGAACCAACTCAACGGCACCTAACAACAACAACAAAAGGCTGGCTGGTTTAGTCTATTGTAGTTAAGGGAATAGGGGTATCACTTGGGTTAGTAGCATTTGCATGCAGATGGCCTCAATTCTGGAAGAGAGAGATGAATTCAGTTAGGCAATTAATTAAGTATCATTGGACCAAAGACTAAGGATAGCATTAGGAGTAATAATGGAACCATAAATGGTAATAATCAAGAGGGAACTTTCCCATAAGCTAGGATTCCTTGATCTTGGTGACAGATTCCAGCATGCCATTGATGCTGTCTTCAGTGTGTCCTGATTTGTTAACATAAAAGCAGCATTCCTCCTTTAGATACAAACACGCACCACCTTAAGAGGCAGCAAGTAAGTCTAGAGCTCTTCTGTTTTGTAGAGCTGCACCTGCCAGTGAGTCTCCCCGTTCCTGCAACACGGCTGATGTTTCTCTTGTCTTAGTCAGGGATTTGGCAGCATTTCGGGCTAAGGTTTGCCATACTCCAGGGGATGTGCCCTACTAGTAGCTTCAGCAGTAACAGAGACTAAACAAGGCAGTGAGAGGCACCAGGGGTGCCGTGTGCTTATGTAGTTATCCAGATGCCCTTAGAGGAGAGGGAATGGAACAGTTCTCCTGAGTCACAGAGATGTCCGGAAGCATGTATCCTAAAGGAAAAGCAAACTCTTCTTCACTTACAGGGTAAAGGCCAGTAGGCTCTGGACCTGAACACACAACATCCTCCTTCTGGAGGTCAGAGTATCCATTCCAAGGTCAGGTCCATGAGTTTAGTAGAACTGTGTCCAGTTGTATGCATCCCTTTCCCCTTCTTAAACTTAGTTCCCTTAGCTGCTAATGAGGCTAGTGGGTCCAGCACAGACCATAGTTTATGGCGTTTGATGGTGGCATTCAGAAGTTGTGTTGTTAGTGGTCCCCTCTGTGGGTTGAAGTAGAGTGCCCACTGGGGAGTTCTAGCCAAGGTTTGGCAAGATGTAGTCATTTGAGGCAGGAGATACTAGAGAGATTTGTAGAAATCAGAGGAGGAGAGCGTACCCTGAAGTGGGGGTTCGAGTGGGGCAGGTATGGGTAAAGTTGTTTGCATCCTATTTACCGCCTGGACTGGTAGTTAGGGCAGGAGTGGTCAGTGTAAACCTCGGGATGAGAAGTTTGGTTCACATTGCCTTAGTCCAGTTTTCCCCCGTTTTGGCCCACCTTCCCATGAGTCATTACTGATGACACAGAAAGGGAATTTTACTGTCTGGAAATTTGGCAGGTGTGAAAATACTGGACTTCGTGATGCCCTTTGTGTGTCTTGGCTGAACATGGTTATAGGTTGGAGGTAAACCTTTTTGGGGGGTTCAGTTTGGCCACTGTTCCCCATCCCAGAGAGGCATGAAGGATTCTTTGGTACAGGTCATTGGAGGTGTTACCCGGCTGTCCTTGTGGGACCAGTTGTCCATATCCACTGCTCCAAGTGGAGAGGCACAGCCGGCAGGAAACTTTCAGTTGTAGTGCCAGCACGGTACGGTTTGAAGTGGACAGAGAAAAAACACTCCCTGTGATACGAAAAGGAGGAGGACCAGTGGTCAAGTTTCATCCCAAGTGTGGCTGGGGGGCGGGGCAGGTTCAGAGTAACCCAGGTATGTGATTAGAATGAAGAATATTAAGAACATTCCTACCCCTAGGGCGATAACCCAGGAGTCCTGTGTTTCCCTTCTTTTTGAACGGGAGCCTCAGGTCTTGGACAGGTTCACAGGTGTATTCAGAAGGCTTGTCTTGGGATTGGTTTGGCTCAGATCCTTCCGTAAATTTTACTCTTGATACGTGCACACAGCTTAACCCCAGGATGGGGCTGACTGGAGGGCCCTTCAGCTCCTAGGTGCACCGAATCACTATTTGCTCCAAGTTTCCATGAACTTTTTGATGTTCCCTTGTATAGTCATTATTAATATTGTTGTGAAAAAGGTGTTTCCAGTGCATATAGATCACTGGTCTTGCAAAATTCTATCATGTGATCTGTGGTGCCATTTCTGTCACCAAGGTCGTATTTTCAACAACTGATCCTTTTTCTTTGTTTTCTACTCTTCCGCATTCCATCACCAGTAATTATCAGTGCACCTCGATGGCACGTTTGATCAGTTTCAGACTGCAGCAGTTGGTACGGTATCTTTAGCTTCTTCTTGTGGCATCAGTAGTTAGTACATAAATATGAATCATAGTCCTGTTAGCTGGTCTTCCGTGTAGGCGTGTAGATGCTATCCTGGTATGAACTCTACTCAGGGTAGATCTTGAAACAGTCTTTCGACTGTGAATGTGACAGTTTGTCTTTTTTAGCATAGCAGACCATATGATTGTCTGATTCAAAAAGATAAATACCAGTCCATTTCAGCCTTGATCTTCAAATGTTCCATTTCACTTTTGACAAGTTCCAGCTTCCCTAGGTTTATACTTTGTACAGTCCATGTTCCAATAAGTCATGGATGTTTGCAGCTGTTTCTTCTCATTTTGAGTCATGCCACATCAGCAGATGACAGTCCCGAGAGCTTTGTCCCATCCATGTCATTACATGGACTCTACCTACATTGAGGAGCCCAGTTGTCTTTTGGGTACCTTCCGACCTGAGGGGCTCGTCTTCTAGCACTGTATCTGACATGACAGTGTTCTCCTGCTGTGTTTAAGTCCTCACTGTCTACTGGTTTGTTTGTTGTTTTAATCTAAGATGTACATGTCCAGGACTTGATTCTTTGACTGCATTATTCTGGAAGCTCTGCTGAAACCTGCTCTCTGTGGGTGGCCCTTCTGCCATTTGAAATACAAGTGGCATAGCTTCCATCATCACACCAACATGCAAGCCACCACAGCACAGCATACGGACAGACGAGTTATGGAACACTGGTCTTATTCGGGTTACATTTCTCAAATCATATCTCATTTGCCAGTCATCAGCACTATCGGGTTTTTTACAGATATACTGAATGAGGCCATTTCCATTTCAGTTGATGTCTGTCTTTAGAGAAGAGACCCATGGGAAAAGAGCCCTCCTGTCTCCCCTGGGCTCCATAAAGGTCCCCCATGCTGACCACCTCTATATTGTGGGAGGCTTGCTGGGGATGGAGCTTCTGAGACTTCTACACTGACACAGACTGTGTTTAGTGTACTTAAGGATGGAATCGAATCGACCAGGAGATCAAATTCCCTTGCAGGAGCCAGGGGGCTCAATGGTAGGTTAAGCTGTACCATGTGTTTTCTCCAGTGGCTGGAGGAAAGAACGTCTGAGGCCTTGAATATAGGAAAGCATGTTCTTAGAATCTTAGCTCCACAAACATGAACTTCAATGCCCCCGTGAGATGCTCTCTATAAGGCTGTCACTAAGTGGGGGAGATAGTCAGCGAAAGACCCTTTCCAAGAAAGCTGCCACGTCAAGAGCCATCAGACTTGGGATTTGGACACCAGTTTCATCCAGATGGACATGGACCACTGCTTTACTGGTTGGACTCGCTCACTCATGTTTGCTGGTGTGTTTATGTGACCCATCAGTGGGAGTAGGAGAAGCGGGCAGTGGATGGTGACCGCCGAAGGGATCAGGGAAAGCAGCTGTCCCGGGACTGGCAGAACTGATGTTGTTAAGTGCAGTCAAGTCAATTGTGACTCATAGTGACCCAGTGTAACATTTCTGAGGAACTTCTGATGAGCTTGGACTGCCGACCTTGTGGTTCAGACTGACCTTGCAGTCCAGTGCTTATCCTACAGCGCCACACCAGGACTCCCACAGAACTGGCAGATGCTCTCTGGTTCTGTCTTCTAGCTCTTGGGGCTCATGTGCTGTGCTGACCAGTGCCAAAGACGGGGAGAAACTAATAGTTGCACCTTAACTGACCCACACAAGCTTTTAAGACCTGAGTTGCTATTCATCAAAGGATGTTATGCAGTTGATCTGGGTGTACCCCAAGACTGTGGTCCTGAGCCCCCAGGCCCAGCATCTAAATTCCTCACAGTTTGGTGATGGCTGAGTTCTTCCTTGCCCTTTTCTTCTCTCCCTTCCACCCTCTGGCCCTGCCCTGTGGCAATGGCAGGCAAGCAGTCATCCAGATAAAAAGTAGTATCAATAGCATCACAAAAATAGTTTTTAAAACTAAAGAGAAATGTTAATTTAGTGGCTGAAAGTTTAAATGCAAAATAAAAACCAGCAACAAAAGGTCAAAGGCTAAATAGTTCAAATATAAGTAGTAAAAAAAAAAATGTTCATTAAAATAAAACGATCTTAAGTAAATACTTCTGTGTAACAAAATATACTTGAAGCGCATACCGCCTTGTGCCTGGCTCATAATGTGCGTGCTCTACAAGTCTAAGGTCATATGTGTAAATCTGGGGGTCTGAGTGTTTCATAAGGAGCCCTGGTGGCACAGTGGGTTAGTCACTGCACTGCTAACTGCTCGATCTGCAGTTCAATCCCACCATCTGCAGTTCATCTCCACCAGAGAAAGACGAGGCCGTCTGCTCCAAGGATAGCCTTGGAGCCCGTGGAGCAGTCCTAGGTGGCCCTCTAGGCGACAGTGGGTTTCCTGGGAGTGTTCTGCACATGGGGGGCTCCTGTGCAATGAGCCCCTCCTGTCACTGTCAGGCGATTGTGTTGTCAACAGCAGCAGTGCCTTGTCTTCTGTGTAGATATCATCGAAATGGACTCGAAGCGGGTACCTCGGGACAAGCTGGCCTGTATCACCAAGTGCAGTAAGCACATCTTCAACGCCATCAAGGTCACCAAGAACGAGCCGGCCTCCGCCGACGACTTCCTGCCCACGCTCATCTACATTGTTCTCAAAGGCAATCCACCACGTCTGCAGTCCAACATCCAGTATATCACCCGCTTCTGTAACCCCAGCCGGCTCATGACCGGAGAGGACGGCTACTACTTCACCAACCTGGTGGGTATGGAGCCCCTCCCCCACTACTGACCAGAGCAGGCAGAGCCTCTCCCCCGGTACTGACCAGGCCCTGCAGAGCCTTTCTCCCAGTACTAACCAGAGCACACGTGACCAGGCCACGCAGAGCCCAGTCCTCCCTTGCCCCACAGTACTGACCGCAACTTCTGGTTTTCTTACAGGAGAGAGTAGGATAGTCACATGACAAGCCTTGGGCATCCCTCCTGGGGCCCTGGGTCACAGGGCCATTCTCCTAGGTTGTTTGAGCCAGGAATGAGGCAGAACCCGGACTGGGATTCCCTTATGAAAAGACTCGAGACTCATGGGTGTTGTTTCTACAAGTTGCCCCTTAGAGCTGCACACAGAGGTCTGGTAAAGAAAGGGTCCGTTCTGAGGCCGCGCCATCCATTGTTGACCCCTAACTGACATGGGTGGTGGCTGGCTCCAGGCACAGTGCTGTCGCATCATCAGTGACTGAGTTGCGAAGCTCAGCAAACACTCCCTTTCACTGCTCAGCTTCTGCTTAGGGAGCCCTAGGTAAGCACTGGGCAGCTAACCAGAAGGTCAGCAGTTCAAACCTGCCCGCTGCACCTCTGGGCAGATCCTCTGTCTGCAGTGTTGCTGTGAGTTGGGGTCCACTCAGCAGCAGAGGGTTTGGTTTGTGGAAATGTCTGTAAACTTGCTTCAGACGAGACTTGCTGACGGCAACGAACTGGAACCGCAGGTCCTCGTGTAGGTCCTCTGTGAGGGGTATGCAGACAGCGGTGAGAACTTGGGAGCATTTCTGGTCAATTCCTGGAAAAGACCTCAAGACCAGGCCTTGAGTTTCCCAAGTTCCAGACACTGGTTACACTTTACTTTCTAAGTAAGTTTTCTTTGGCCCTACTTTGTCATCCTTTCATCCTTTCCTTAAAGTGGCCTCCTAAATTTGTGTAACGTCCTCCGGCAGAATGGTCCCTGCTTGTTGCTGTGGTGCCAGCTTTGTGGGAGCAAGGTGTGCAAGTGGCAGCGCTGGGGATACCCTATTTAGAAGGACGCTGATGTCCTTACTCTGCAGTGATTTTTGTCCTTTGCAGTCACTGGTGATTAAGCTAGACTACTCCAAAAGCTTTAACTGGCCCGAATGGGATCATACAGAAAATAACACTTTTTATGTCTCGCCGTAAATGGAATATGGGCTTAGACTGGGAGAGAGGAGCCTTTGGGATTCATCTCATTCTACAGAAAGGGTCAAGGGATCTGAGGAACAGTGGAGGAGAGACGGGGCATAGGCTGTAGTAGGAAGGAGCACAGAAGCTGGGATGATGGGGGTACTTGCCCAGCTGCTGGCTCACTTTGCAGCCTCCCAACTTGAGTTGTTGCAAATGCAGCCTTTGCTCTATTTGGGCCTTCTCTCTTCATCTCCTCCTTGCCTGACTCAGGGCTGGCCCCACTCACGTGTAACTGCTTCAGCAAAAGTAAAATACTGACCTAATCGCACGAGAATGGTTCAGTCACCATCTTAATTCACTTTCTTTGGTAGGCCTTTGTTTTGGTACTTCTTGTGGCCCTTGGTAGAGTTTGTGTCACACCCCCCCACTCCCCTGTCAAGGAAGTCCCCTGTCCCCCACACACCCGTCTTGATCAGTCCTGTCCCCCACCCCCCGTGTCTTGCTAGGCCCCTGGGGTACTATCCTCTCAGCCTTTCCCAGGGCCATCTTCTCTGTCAGTCACCTCACCTGACCTTCAGCCAAGCTCCTCAAGTTTAATTTGTTCGCAGCTGACAGTGCATCCCTGTCACATGTCCTCTCCCTACATCCCCTGTTCCCATTGGCGGCAGTGCCACACTTTCGTTCACCTGGGCCGGGACTTTCAGAGCTGCCTCAGACTCCTGCCCTCTCTGCAGGTGACTGAGGGGTCACAGCGACTCCACTCACAATTCCACACAGCCTGTCTCCAGTTCCCCTCAGCCCATGGACCTGTTCTTGTCCATTTCCTCAACATTCCTCAGAGACACGCTTCACTTTTCATGAGTAGTAATGGAGGCTTCTCAGATTTACTTCTCAGCAGAAATCCTGACAGCTGCCTGCCTGCCTTTCCCTGTTTATCTGATGTGACGAGATGTGATTTGGTGTGTGTTTGTGTAGGTGTGGTGTGTGTGTGAAGATAGCCATTTAATGTCAAAATGGTGTGTGCTGATTGCAGAAAAACTAGTCAGTGTAAGAGACGAGCAGCTGTCTGTCTAACTTGGCATTAACTGAGCCTTTCCGTAGTAACTCCAGCCGCTCCCACTTACTCCTTGCTACCAGACGCCTAAGTCACGTGAGTTGGGTGGTTTGAGTTTCACAATAAGCTGAGGTGAACTGTCCCCTCCTGTTTTGTGGGAATCACAGAGATCGTGAGTAACTGTCCCAGGCCACTTGGAAACCCCACGGTGAAATGACAGAGGACCCAGGCTGACTGATTCCAGAGCTTATTCTTCTGTGCTAAAACATCCATGTGAATGTCGAGAGCTTTCCTGATATTGCCGCTGTTGTTAAATGTAGTCGGTTCAGACCAGACTCAAAGCAACCTTGCATAGAGTTCCTGAGGAGCGGCTGGTGGGTTTGAACCACCAACCTTGTGGGTAGCAAGGTGCTTATCCTTCAGTGCCACACCAGGGCTCCTTTCCTGATTGGACTCTACTAAATTATGTCCTTTTTTTTCACCCTGACTCCACCCTATAGTGCTGCGCCGTGGCTTTCATTGAGAAATTAGATGCTCAGTCTCTGAACTTGAGTCAAGAGGATTTTGACCGCTACATGTCCGGCCAGACCTCGCCCAGAAAGCAAGACTCCGAGCCCTGGTCTCCAGACGCATGCGTCGGCGTCAAGCAAATGTACAAGAACTTAGATCTCCTGTCTCAATTGAATGAACGGCAGGAAAGGATCATGAGTGAAGCCAAGAAACTTGAAAAAGATCTCATAGATTGGACAGACGGGATTACCAAAGAGGTTCAAGACATTGTCGAGAAATACCCCCTGGAAATTAAGCCCCCAAATCAGCCTCTAGCAGCCATTGACTCTGAAAATGTGGAAAACGATAAGCTCCCTCCACCCTTGCAGCCTCAGGTCTATGCGGGATGATGGCGGTGAACTTGGACAGCACTTTGCTGGGGCCCGAGGCGAGCCTGCTCTTTCTGCAGCCCACTGATGGGGACGCAGGACGGAGCTGAATGGCTTACAAGTGGCAACAGTTTAAAAGGTACACTTTGGGATTGTTTTTGTTTTTGTTTTCTGGCAGAGGAAAGGCTAGTAAATAATAAACTTTTATTTATTTGAGTTACTGGAATAGGTTCATTTAAGGCTTATGTGAAACTTTCATCAGAATCTGCTTTTTCTCCTTAATTTTCCCGTGTGCTTCCTCTGGAAGCATGTGTCTATGCACTGTGCTTCCGTTTGAGGTAAATAATTGCCTTTTAAAGGATCAAACAGACTGAGTGTGAGGGAATTCAATGGTACCTACTGTCCTGCAGTTTGAAATAATTTTGTAACTGTAAAGATAAATGATATATTGATAATTAAATATGTAAAATTGTAAATATGTATAAAAAAAGAATGCTGTGCATGGCATTTCATGTGGTTATTTTGTTCATTTAAATTGAAGTATACGGAATGTTTGTCTCGATGCCCATTTTGTTTGGGTTGCCCCACAAAATTGAATATGGAGGTGGTTAGTCAGACTCTGTTAAAAAGGTGGTTCTGTTTTCAGATGGGTGTAAGTCCTCACTTTGAGGATCTCACTAACAAGAGACTATGACACTGTGGAGGGTCAGAGTCATTTCAAGAGCCCGAGCAAGTTGCTGTTCCCCATAGTTCACTGAAGGCTCAGAACCTTCATCTTGCATCTTCCCCCAATTCATTCAACGGAGAAGCATGGGTCCTTTGCTGTCCAGGCCCTGGGTGTGGGTTGGAAGACAGGGGAATGGCAGCCAGAGGGTGGGCGCTGAGGCACTCCCTCAGAGCCCTGTGTCTTGCTCTCACTCCTCGGAAAGTGACAGGGGCCGTGCTTTGCAAACGCAGCTCTGTTGACATGGGGGTCTGAGGATTTTTGCTGTGGAGGCATCCCTGGCCCCTACCAACTCAATGTCAGAAGCATCCTCTTCCCACGCCTAGTTGGAAAGAAATACCTCCAGACATTGCCAGGTGGACCCTGGGTTGGGGGAACAGGAAGCAAAATGGCTCCTGAGAACCACTCATTTATTTTGTGAGCACAGAAGAGAGGAGCTCCCTACAAAGACTTCAGTTCCCAGTGGAATGTTAACTTATCCCCACAGTGCTGGTGGGGGACCGCTCCTCTCCCAGTGGGACCCTCTCTGTGCCATAAGGACACACCTCCCATTCAGCCACGCCTGCAGAATTATGATCACATGATTCCTTTATTTTCCCAAAAGCTCCCCACATAGTCAAACCTGCAAATGCCAGAACCTGCCTGAAGAGGAAAACGTGACTTTTCCACCACGCACTCTGTGAAAGGCGGGCAACTTGCGAGACCTGGAAAGGCAGGGCGGCCCTTGTGAGGTCTGCTCTCCCATGGTTTCCTCTCCTATACCACAGCCATGTAGTGAAGTCCTCTCTGGAAGAACACGGGTATAAAACTTTCTGTGCTTGATTTACACCTAATCTAATTGAGATCTCGCTGAAGCTTGACGCAACCAATGACTTAAAGTACCAAAGGCACCAAGCAGTTAGACAGCTGGTCACAGCTCACACGGGGCAGAATGAGTTCCTGTCCACCGCCAGCCGCAGCTTGCTCCTAGGAATTCTGGGCCCAGATGATCTGAGTAGGAAGTTTTCCCCTTCTTTATTTTCTATGTACGTTTTAGGTGCTAATCCAGGTATTTGTTGTTGTTAAGTGCCGTCGAGTCGGTTCCGACCCATAGCAACCCTGTATAGGGTTTCCGAGGAGCAGCTGGTGAGCTTGAACCACTGACCTTGCAGTTCAAATGGCTTTGCAGTCTGGC